TCATAAAGAAAAGGTTAAGAAATTCGCTGACTGCGGAGAATTTGGAATCGTGCACGTTACATTGAAAATGAATTGCCAGATGAATTGATTGAAGCAATTATTGGCAGATTTGAACAACCATTACGTGAACACAAATGATTGCTCTTAATATAGTGGACTGCATACAATGCTTTATTGTCCTTTTGAACTATCTGTTAACGTAGGTACCTTCATGAGATTGCTGAAAAAAAAAGACGCCAAACTTGACGAAAACAAAATTTTATCGTCTAAGAGTTTATTGTTAAGAGGAAAGATAAAAGTTTGTCTATATTTCTGAGATGAGGTATTATGTACAGTATTTACATTAGTCGGACTATTGTCCTCATCTTTGTCGCCATATTTGTCACAACGTTTCGGCCGTTGTACGCTCCGGCCTTCTTCAGGTGGTTGGAATTTCGAACTGAACCCTTTATTTCGATCGCTGGGGTAGACTGTTCTAATTCCACGTGCCATGTTTGATGGATGTCAGTTATCCCCTGCTAATTTTCCCTCTGAAAGTTCTCCACTGCCTTAATCGGGTATTGAACTCTCATTCTTTCGGTCTGTCACTGGATCTAACCAACGCCTTTAGCCACTGTGCCCTTGAGGTATGAACTTCTGGGTAATATAAACCTAATGTTTTCAGTAACCATTTTTTACCAGTGCTCATATTGCAATTTTTGCTGTTATCATTGCATGTTTTTACCAGAGTTCATATTGCAACTTTGGTATCATTGCTTTTCTCTGGCACTCCTTATTACTGGTCAGTTATCAGTTATCTCCTGCTAATTTTCCCTCTGAAAGTTCTCCACTGCCTTAACCAGGAATTGAACTCACCTTCTTTGGGTCTGTCACTGGATCTAACCAACGCCTTTATCCACTGTGCCATGTGTCCTTGAGGACACATGGCACAGTGGATAAAAGATAAAAGTTTATTTTAATTATTTTAAAAAATTTTTCCTTGTTAGAACATTCTAAATTTTGATTAAAGAAAACCTTGTTTCTCTTTGTATCACCTGAACTAGTGAAATAACATATACAATTTTTAGCACGTTTTTTTTGTGTGTGACACATCAATTTGGAAAATCTTGCAAAAATAAAAATAATTGTCTCATGTTAATGAAACTTTCAGAAACTATTCACAGACGATGAAAATTATTATAAATGTGTTTTTATTAAAGTCATGGCAGAAATATTTTTTATATATATTACCCCCACCCCATAACTGATTTCTTAATAATAACAAACATTTAGACGATAAAGTTTTGTTTTCGTCAAGTTTGGTGTCTTTTTCGTCGTGCTATGCTCTTTTTTAGCGATCTCATGAAGGTATGTGTTCACGTATAAATTGTGCAGTAAACCATCTAAAATATCAACCAATTATTTAAAATAAAAATATAAATTATCACATTCTGAATTTATATTTGGTAACTACTGCCAGCAATATGTATAGTACATGTACACCAATTATTACCATTATTATTATGTGGGCGCATAGTAATATTTGGGTGGGGCATGTGTAGGATGTGCACCCTTCGGCTTCCTATGCCAACAGAATAAGGGGGGCAGTTCGAGAATGAGTTATTAACAGTGAATTGTTTTCTAGTGCGAGTTAATTTTAATGCATGTTAAGTTAATACATACGATTCATATACAGTATGCATACATAAAATTAATTTGTGTGCATGTAAGTCCATGTGTAATTGGCATGGAGGGTATTTCCCGTCTCCTCCCACACTGGCGTGTCTCGGTCAACAAAGGAGAGGACGTGATGCAAGCCGCTGGAAGAGCCCATGTTTTGTCGGCCAATCAACGCGTGTGAGCATTCAATTTGCTCCCTTCGCGTGAATTTCAGTAGAATTTTGAATATGTACAGTGGGTGTGGCACCAGAGTTTTAGAAATATCAAAGTGCGGCACGACCCAAAATTGGTTGGGATCACTGATGTACACTGCAGTTAACCTTTCCACAAAAAATTGTACCCTTTTTTTTCCAATATGTATTTTTCGGAAATTTTATTTATGGTTGCACCCCCCCCTCAGCCATCTGGAAACCAATATTTTTAGTCCCAGTCCGTCACTAAAGCTGAAGTTAACCCTCTTTCCACCAGTGACGTTAGTTTCCTTATCTTGAAAAGTCGTCATTCATCTTGAAATTTTATCCACATTCCTTGTTATATTCATTTTTTTTTTGTTTCTTTCTCATGACGGTTTTCCCGCCCAAAAACTTAAATACTTTTTACGAAGTAGATTTTATTTATAGTGATTCTGAACAATTCACGCGACATGTTAAATTCATTTCGATATCTGAGAAAACACATCGTGGAAGCGTGATCCTTAAATCTCAAGTTATTTGTAATATACAACAAGGTTAATTTTGTCAGTGTCTGAAAAAATGAAATAGTCTTATTTGGAAAAGCATTTTTAAATAAGTGCAGTTAGTTCAAGAAAAGTAAATTGTTAGTTTTTTTAAAGAAAGAAAAGGCAATTGTTAGTTTCTTTTTAACGAACGAAAAGGCAATTGTTAGTTTCTTTTTAACGAACGAAAAGGCAATTGTTAGTTTCTTTTTAACGAACGAAAAGGCAATTGTTAGTTTCTTTTTAACGAACGAAAAGGCAATTGTTAGTTTTTTAACGAACGAAAAGGCAATTGTTAGTTTCTTTTTAACGAACGAAAAGGCAATTGTTAGTTTCTTTTTAACGAACGAAAAGGCAATTGTTAGTTTCTTTTTAACGAACGAAAAGGCAATTGTTAGTTTCTTTTTAAAGAAAGAAAAATAAAAAACATATATATTGTTTCAGTTGTATCAGTTTTATCACATTTCCGACCGTCAGGTGCCTGTCACATTTGGCTACGTTTCGAAATGTCGTACAGAAACTGTTTTGATCAGCAGTGTTTTTTATCCTTTTAGAAATGAACTAGAAATTACCAAGCTGTCGTACAGGTGGTAAAAGGAATAGACTAAAGTAATCTTACGAGGGCGAATTGTGACACTTTCAGGCTAGCTGTACATAAAAAAAAAGCTCTTCTATTATTGAAAATTCTATTAGGGGGATCGGCGGCGAATGATGTTCTTATGAACAGAAATGACAAAACAATCGCGGTTCAATTTTTCAAACAAGATCCGCTCAGAAATCTACAGAGAGAAAACAAAAGTAATTGGAAATATCTATTTTCAGACAAAAGTTTTTAAAGATAAGCAGGTCTTTCACGGAGACACATGTGCCCAGTTTAGCCATCGATTTATTCAAGTCCTCTAGATAGCTTATGTGTTTTCCTCTGCCCCTCTTGCTTTCAATCTGTCCTGTGAGTATCAGATTTTTCAAGCCCTCTTTCCTCATGTGCCCAAAAATTTTCAACTTTCGCTTCCTGAGGTTAAGTATAATTTTTCCTTTTTGTTTCCATTTTCTCTAAAACGTCGTCGTTAATCACAAGTTCAGTCCAAGGTATTCTCAGCATCCTTCTGTAGAACCATATTTCTGTTACCTGAAATCTCTTCATCTGTGAGCAGATTGTCCAGCATTCACTGTCATATAGGGGATTAGATATTGCATAGCTATCACTTTCTTTACATATAAGCTGAAATTTCTAGCCTTGGCTAGAACCTAGTCAACGAGAAAGACAATGTAATTTTAAACTAGGAGTACAATCCGCTCCTTTCCACTCTTTTACTGAGTACCGTTTCCCTTCAGGGTCTAGCTGATCATGACTCTCCACTACTTCCTGTCTTTGTATTCCTTAGTAAAGTTACATAAGCTCGTTAGGCATAGGTTATGCGCTGCTTCTCTCTGTTACTCTTGCGATTAATATGAACATATGAGTATCATATTTTCCAAGCCTCTTTTCCTCTTTATCTCCCCAAACGTCGTCTTCATGATATGTATCAGTGTCCTTTTTTATGTACACTATTTACATTGTTCGGACTCTTGTCCTTATCTTTCTTTGCCATAATCACTACGTTTTGGTCGTTTTTCGCTCCGGCTTTCTTCAGGTGATTGCAAATTCGAACTGAACCCTGAAGAAGGTCGGTACGAACAACGGCCGAAACGTCGTGAAAATAGCAACGAAGATGAGGACAACAGCCCGAACGGTGTAAATAGTCAATTCCATACTTCATTTCAGAAATGTAGACAATGTTTTTATTTTCAATTTATCTATAACTTTATCGTTGCGCACATGTTCTGTTCAGGGTATTCTCAGCATCCTTCTGTATAACCACATTTCTGTTGCCTCAAGCTTTGGCATAATCTGATTTAATTGAACAGCATTCATTGTCATAGGAGGACGGGTATTATAAAACAAAGTTCAGTATTGTTTGTAATTAAATTTTGCTGTTAATATTTTGTTTGTCTTTTAACATGATTCGCTATCACAATGCGCCTTCGGATTCGTGTTTTCTGTTTCCTGTTAAAACAATTCCGAGATACTGTAGAAAGTTTGTGCAATTATCTTAGCAAAGCTCAGTGGAAGGAGAGAAATTTTATTGAAATGAGTTCCAGTCGACACCATCAGATTGAAGGGAAGTCAAAATTTGCATTTCAAAAGTAGTAGCAATATTTTTCCTTCCTTCGTTGCGACCATGCTGTTTTTCGAAGCTGACGTTTTACCGAAATTGTTAATAAGTCTTAACTTTTTTTTTCCAGTATCTGTCTATATTTCTGAGATGAGGTATTATGTACACTATTTACAATATTCGGACTATTGTCTTCATCTTTGTCGTCATATTTATTACAATGTTTCGGCCCCTCAGTATCTGTCTATATTTCTGAGATGAGGTATTATGTACACTATTTACATTATTCGGATTATTGTCCTCATCTTTGTCACCATATTCATTACGTTTCGGACGTTGTACGCTCTGGTCTTCTTCAGGTGGTTAGAATGTCGAGTTGAACCCTTTATTTTGCTCACTGAGGTAGACTGTTCTAGTTCCACGTGCCATGTTTAATGGATGTCAGTTATTGTCGGAATTATCTCAGCGACGAGTAAGGGAGGAGGGAAAGGAAAGACGGTTTCAAGGCTTGCAACGAAAAGTCTGACGTTGCTTACAAGCGAAGTCTTCCTTGTAACGGTAACAAAAGTCAAATGACTAGTAACACTCGACACTCTCCTCCTGCGTAACACGTGAGCTCTACCCAAGATCTGTAGAGAAAAAAAAATCAATTTGCTGTGCGATCCAGTAACCTGCTAACCTTACTTTATTGATGGTTGTGCCAAAACTCAAATGTTGACCTCTCTGATGGTACTTATGAATTATCAGATTTGTCAGATGATGCTTCTTTCCTAATAGAATAGGATTTTGGACTTCGTAAAGGCGACATTCCGACCCTCCTATCCTTCCTCTTGACCTTATGATGCCTTTAGGGTCCAAAAAGAGGTTCAGGTTTCTCACCAGTTTGGGCTTGCTTTTTCCTCCAGGGTCTATCAAAAACGATGTTAGTGTCATGTCAGGAACCAGTTTTAAATATACAATTCTAATGCCCATGCATGTAAAGAGAAGGATGTACATTTTATAATCCTTGTCTTTTCCTTGTACATAAATGTGACTGGTATAATTCACACCAGTATGCAAATAGGACCTGACGAAATTCACTCGAGAGGCTGGTAAATCGGTTGTGTTGGGTACCGAAAAAGAAACTGCGTTGTATCTTTTACATTTAAAGCAAGTACTAATCACATTTTTAATGGCCTGCCTGGCCTGTGGGATCCAGTAACCTGTTAACCTTACTTCGCTGAGGGTTGTGGCCAAACTCAAATGTTGACTTCTCTGATGGTACTCTTGAATTATCAGATTTGTCAGATAATGCTTCTTTCCTAATAGAAAAGGATTTTGGACTTCGTAAGGGGGAAATTCCGACAATCCTATCCTTCCTCTTGATCCAAAAAGAGGTTCAGGTTCCTCACCAGTTTGGGCTTGCTTTTTCCTCCAGGGTCTATCAAAAAATCCAACTCTACAGGAAAGGATTCCTTTTGCATAGTCTTGAGCAGGTAACAATTTGCTTGCAGGTCAGGATCCATTTCCCTCTTTTTTAGTCTGTTGACAAACTTGAAGACCAGTGAGGTCACACTGATTAATTTATTAAGGCTGGAGAACTTTCCCATTTGAACAACTGCAGTAGCTACAGCTCTACTTTCGGCTATATAATTCACTGAAGGGTGAACTTGTTCTCTCTGAACCTCCGAAAGACAGCCTAGTTCATAATTATACCAGCATGACTCCTCTTGCCTTATCCATTCAGGTCTTCATACCAATGAGAAAGCTTCTCTAAATTTTTTGATAGTCAGTCCTCTGGTGATATAATCGGCCGGGTTGTCTGCACTTGAAACATATCAAAAGCTCACTTTTAAGCCAAAATCTGACTTGATCTTGTTACTCATTTGAGTGATGTCTTGCAATCTGTTTCGTACAAATATATTCTTTGTGTGGATGAACTCAGCCAGTATCCAGGACAGAACCGCACCTGTGACCATATAAACGTCCTTTATTGGAATGTCCCCTAGGGATTTTTTTTAAAAAAAAGGCAAAAAAAAATGTTTGTCGCAGATTACTTCACGACAAGAAACACTGGCAGAAAGGAGTTCCAACGTTGGCAAGGGAAAATTTGCCCTGCAGGGGTACCACCTTTCTTTTTGGCAAATATTAGAGGATGATCTTCCATCATGTAGACGGCGTAACACTCCAAAAACCATACTATGCGGGTAATTTCTTTTCGAGGCAGAACAGAAGAAAAAACAATTTGGTGACAACCCGTTTCTTCGTCTAAAACTTTGCCCTCTCGGAAAAAATATTAAGGATGATCTTCCATAAAAAACCATCCTTTAAACAGAAAAACTACTTTGTATCCTTTTTCGTCTAAAAACTCTCCTCGGAAATAGCATCCTTTGCCAGTGTTTTCCGAACTGAGATCATGCTTTTGGAACCACATCATTCCAACCCAGTTTTGGGGGTCCCTGATCAATAAGCGGACTGTTACAGGCAGATAAAGAGACAAAGGATCAAATACCTTCGAGGTCTCTGACAATATTCGTCTTTTGGTTGCTGCTTCCATATCGCATGAGTGTGGGGGGACCCTTAAGGAGTCTTGAACAGGGTCATAATGGTATCCTAACACCTTTTCCCAGCCAGAGTCGAATCCTGATAAGGTTCCATCTGCCTCCATTTTCTTTTGCAGCTTTTCACAGTTGGAGTTGCAAGACAGTCGAAATTCCCCTTTTGCAGGCGCTCTCTCACAGATGTATACAGAGAAGATAGGGCCTCAGCATTATTTCCTGTTTTCACAAAGTTATCTACATAAAAGTTAGATTTTAATGCTTTTGAACATTCATTGGAAGGGAATTCGTCTGCATGAAATTTTAGCACGTAATTCAGAATAAAGGGACTTTCATTGAAGCCAAAAATAAGGGTCTTATATCGGTAACAATGCAAGTTGTCACCTTTTTGCAGGAAAAAACAAAACAGATTACAATCCCTTTCAGACGCTAGGCGAATCATCAGAAATGCCTTTCTAATGTCTGCCAACAGAACATATTGGTTTGTTCTGAATCGAATCACCAGTTCTAACATGTCCGCCATAAGATTTACTCCGGGATATGCAGCTTTGTTTAATGAGACTGAGTTTTTTTGTTTATAGGAACAATTAAACACAGGTCTCGCTTTAGTTTTAGTTTGATCTGCTAGCTTTAGTACTGGCCTATGGGGAATCCAGATGTAATCTCCAAATCTTTCAAACGGCACAATTATTTCTTGAATAATACCCTCGTCCTCTTGTTCAAAAACTTTTAGGTAGTGGTCATGCAAGTTTTTCTTGTCCAGATCCTTATTCACCTTTTCCAGGATCCTGAGAGCAGCCTTGTGGTTAAAGGGTACTGATTTTATTTTGTCCTCATACCATTGAAGTTGCACATGGTAGAGGCCATCCTTGAATGTGATGGAATCTCTGAACTGGTTTACTTTCTCTTCATCCAAGGTGGAGAATTCTTCAGTAGTAGCTAATCCAAGAGATTCAAGGTTGGACATATTCTTCACTCCTCTCTGGACATTACTTTCCTCAAACCAATTTTTTAAGGGTCCCGGGTAGCATTCCTCTGGGTGGATTACGTAGTTGATTCTAGAAAGTGGAAGTCGAGGCGCGTTTTGGCTAACACAAGCATAATTTGTGACCCTTTGTTGTTTTTTATCTGTTTTTTAATTAAAAAGCAGCAACTATTACCAAAGGGATTTAATCCTTTTTGTGTTTTAAAAGGCACTGCGTACATGCAACAGACCACCTTTTAAAGGTTCCAAATGTTGAATCACGTCGATTCCCAGCAACCCGTCGGTAATAATTAAGTCGCCCTTGGTACTAAACTCCGCAGCCAGCTTGCGTTTCTTTAGATTTTTAAGAATTTGAATAAGTCCTTCAAGGTTATAAGACAGGTTCAGTTTAGTTGAAAGAATCTGGATAGTATAAGCTTTGCCAGAAAAAAGATTTTCAAAGGAATTTCTTTAAAGGTTTTGGTATTCATGCCTAAAAAGGTTTTCTTTATTTTTTCCATAATCCTGTCTTTTGCTAAGGAAAGGCAATTCAAATTTTTAGAACTAAAATGTCTAAATAAGTTCTCTGACTGCCGGTGTCCAACAAATAAAAGTTCACCTTTACTGTGTTATCTTCTCCTCTAACTATTATGCTAATTATGGGAGACAGGAAAGCACAACTATATTTGTTTGTATGTAAACAGGTATCAACCTGTACACTACTTGCGAATGGTTGGGCACATAGCTGTTAGGTGTCCTTTGGAGTTGCAGCTATGACAGTCAAAATTTTTCTTGATTGATATCTTAAATGGGCATCTATTTCCCATGTGAGATTTTTTTCAAGCACCGATAGCAGAGATGCAGTTCTCTACATCTAGTTATCCTGGCTTCATAAAAGGTGTAGATTGCGACAGTCCTCAGAGAAATGTCCATCCTCGTTGCAAAATTCACATTTCTTTATTTCTGGTCTCACCTCTGTACTGAAGGTTTTAAGAGGCGGGGTCACTCGTAATCCCTGCTTTAAACTTAGGTTGAGGTTTTTTTGGCATGCAGGTATCTTTGCTGGTTTCCTGGCTATCAAGAGTCGTTTCACTATTCCTGGGGTTTCCTTTAATATTGTTAATGTTGGGTAGGTACACCCAAAAATCCGCATCAGCTCTCCCTTCATTTTCCGTCTTTATGAGTGGAATTTGGTGAACAATACCTGCGGAAATTATTATGGCATTGTCGCTGACTCATCCTCATATAAGTTTCAATTATATGAGGCCCTGAGTTCCCAAACATCTGCCTGAGTTTTTATAATAAAGTCCGAAAAAGATTCTTCAATCCCTCCAGGTCCTGTGATTGTCCAACTGAAAATCCAATATTTCTTGGATAATCTCTCCTCTTATTTCCCCCTCGTCCAAATATTGGTCCTTCAAAAGCTTCAGGGCCGTTGGGTAACTATCTTCAGAGGGAGAAAGATGATCTATCAGTTGAAGGGCTCTACCTTCCAAGGAGCATCTCAAGAAATATAAATTTTCGGTGTCCGATTTCATCGACGCCGCACAATTTTCGAACTTTATCAAGAAATCTTTGAAACTCATTTTACTGGTTTCAAAGTTTTTTACATCATAGTGTGGACACTTCAACCTTATTTTGAAAGGCTCCACTGAAAAGGATGAGTGGGCTGTTGGTTTGGAGGGAGGTGGTCCACCAATGTCTGGAGTAACGGGGTTTTCTCGACTTTCTACTGCGAGGACCATCGGGACCTCACTTGGGTTGGCCTTCTGTAGAAGATCCAGACGTCGTCGCATATCATACTTGAAGCGAAAAGAACCTTGACTCAATCTCGTCAAGGATTCCGCGTCTTTTTCTGCAGCCAGCTGCTCTTCCATGCCAAAAAAAACACCTTCAATTTCCTCCAACCAGCCTTCTATTTCTCGCTTGAAAGAAGAGAACACCTCTGTAGAAACACTTTCTTCCTTCTCTAGTCCGTCAAGAAAAGTTTTTTGAAGGATTCATCGACGCTCAATTTTTTTTGCTATATTCACAATATTTCACTGGTTTCAACGCTCCGTCCTTCTTATTTTGATTGGAATTGAAAAGGAAAGGAACCCTTCATTTTCGTCCACTGTAGTAAGATTTTCTAGATTGGAGAGGGGTACCATTCCTCTTCAGGGATATCTCAATTATGTCGCGGAAAAAGAATAATCTACGTCATACTTGAACGAAATAACGTTGGACTCAATCTGTCAAATGAAGATTTCTGCAATCAAATGCAAAAAGTAAATAATCAGTTCTCCAACCACCTCATCTCGCTTGAAAGAAGAGATAGTGACAGATATTCATTGATCTTGAATGTTTCTTTGAAGTACGTTTTGCCTTCGTTTGAGGTCTTCCAGTGAGACCGAGTCCTCCGTGACATTGGGATAGAAAAAAACTCTTCAGTTAATTCTGGGTTGAACAACCTTTTTCGTTTCAATGTGCCGGGATTATCTCAGCGACGAGTAAGGGAGGAGGGAAAGGAAAGACGGTTTTAAGGCTTGCAACGAAAAGTCTGACGTTGCTTACAAGCGAAGTCTTCCTTGTAACGGTAACAAAAGTCAAATGACTAGTAACACTCGACACTCTCCTTTGAGCTCTACAAAGGATCTGTAGAGAAAAAGAAACTGAACTTGCGACTGAAAGTAGCACCTTTTAAACTCTCAAGGTCTCGTTCAACGTCATACGACGAGACCAGAGCGTCTATAAAAATCGTCAATTCTTTGGCCCTGGTTCGGCCCGGTAGAAAAAATTACTATTTTAGACGACGACGACACATACTCCCCCCCCCCCGACCTACCCTCGGTGAGTACAATACCGTGTTCCTTTTTTAGTCACCACAAAAGCTCTGCGTCCAGAGATGGTGTCATTAACGAAATGGCGGCCTACCTAGCTATGGAACCCAGTTTACCCAACTGTTCTAAATAATCGTTGACTCTTCAAGATTTCTGTTTATATTTATGAGATGAAATAGTCCGTTTATCAATGTCTGTAAGGATTCCTCATCCTAGAAATTCAAACAGAACTCTAGTCGTTACCATTCAAGAAAAAAGTGGAAAATCTATTGAAAATGTCTGTTTTATTTAAAAATCAACCTTTTCATATTCAATATCTCTCTATTTGAGATGAGGTATTGTATCTATTTACACTACCAACATTGTTCGGACTGTTGTCCTCATCTTTATTGCCATATTCACAACGTTTCGGCCATTGTACACGCCAGCCTTCTTTACGACCTGTCTATATTTCTGAGATTAGGTATTATATCTATTTACACGATTTACATTGTTCGGATACCTTTCTCAAGGGTATTTGTACATAAGTGAATGTAACGAACTCAGCTGGAATTACAATTCAGTTCACCAATTTCACATTCCAACCTGATATCCATGACACAAAGATGCACATCCTGATTCTTATTTAGTACTGAATAAAATCTAGACAAGATGTGTTGACATAGTCAATGAAATGAGAACAATCTACACCACCCTGGATTAAATGAAAGATTCAGTTTGGTATTGCTGGACGATTACTCACATTGAAAAGCACCTGATGAAGGCCAGAGGACACAAGTCGAAACTTTATAACAACAAAGATGAAAAAGAAAATAGTCCATTTATAAATGTCTGTAATAATTCCTCATCCCAGAAATTCAGACAAAAAAAAAAATCTAGTTTTTACCATTCATGAAAAAAGTGGAAAATCTATTGAAAATGTCTTTGTTTTATTAAAAAAATATCAACCTTTTCATATTCAATAGCTGTCTCTCTTTCGGAGATGAGGTATTGTAACTATTTACATTGTTTGGACTATTTTCCTCATCTTTATTGCCATATTCACAATGTTTTGGCCATTGTACACTCCAGCCTTCTTCACGATCTGTTTCTATTTCTGTGATGAGGTATTGTAACTATTTACACTATTGACATTGTTCGGACTGTTACCCTTATTTTTATTGCCATATTCCTGACGTTTCGGCCGTTGTACACTGCGACCTTCCTCAGGTGATTGGACACATGGCCCAACGGATAAGTGTTGGTTAGATCCAGTGACTTGACCCAAAGAGTTGTGTTCAATACCTAGCTACGGCAGTGCTGAACAAAAAAATTGGAGAGATGAGATAAAGGGAGATAACGGAGATATCTGGAAGAAGCACGGCACGTGGAACTAGAACAATATACCTCGGTGGACGAAATAAAGGGTTCAGTTCGAAATTCCAGTCACTTTAAAGATTTATAGCTGAATTCATCCAATATACTTAGTTCACACACATTAAAGTACCAGTCTATGCCAGATAAGAGATCACATCTTAAATAATTTGTAGATTTTTTTAATACTAATTTTAATCAAGAGCTCGTGAGCCATTCAAGCTGGTCAATTCCTTGTACAGCTCCAGAAAAAGCCAGTTCAGGTAACAAAAAAAACAAACAGATGGAGTATCACTGCCATATCTGGGCTGGACTTGTCCACTTCTCACTTTACAGTCTAGACAGTTCAGAAGCGTTTACGCGGACTTGGGGGGGGGATGATTATTTTCCACTCTACAGCCCCTTTCCCCACAGACTACATGTCACAAACACGTCGTTATTCTATCGCTATTTCCATGGCAAATGTTTAGACAAACTATATTCCTTCCTCCCGCCATGCCACGTAAACCGGGACGAATTATTAGTATTCCCGTAATATTCAGTCAGTATAAAGTTCCATTCAGAAAACTCCTCCTCTTGAATTGCTACTTTACAAAAAGCTCCAAAGAAGATGGTTCCCCGATCACTACACTCTTCCAACATAACCTCATAAACTACACTTCTTAACTCCTCCTCCTCCTCCTTACGCTCTTACACCAACCTCATTCACCCTCTATCTTCAGTAGCTCTCGAGGCTTTTATTGGGTTAAATTAGTAAATGAAAACAACTGCTCTTAGTAAATCCTTATTATTGCTTCTTGGCCTTTATGCCGGGATCAGTACGTAGTATCTGTTTTCCTCATTAAACAATGGAGAAGGCGTCTGGTTCCGGGATTCTAACACTGTGACAGCACCTTCCTCATTGCACTAAAAAGGGAATCAGTGGAATATCAGTGTCAGCGTGATGATGGTCACAAGTACTTGGCAACAGCATCCCGCATTAAAAAGAACCCTGTATTACATACTACCCTAATTCAGTGGTTGATGGTTATGATCGTTTCTTGGCCTTTGGGTCAAGATCAATGCGTAGTAACTGTTCTCGTTTTAATTTACCTATGGAAAAGGTGCCCGGTACTGGGAATTCCAACTCTGCGTCGGCACCTCCCTCATTGCACTTAGACACTTCATATTTTCGGTTTTATTAGATTGAACGATTCTCATACCATCCGAGAGATGGATATTAGAATGAACGAAACTTATACCATCCGAGAGACGGATATTAGATTGAACGAATCTCATACCATCCGAGAGACGGACATTGAACTGAACGAATCTAAAATACCATCAAGAGAGACGAACATTGAACTGAATTAATCTCCCACCATCCGAGAGACGAACATTAGACTGAACGAATCTCCCACCATCCGAGAGACGAACATTAGACTGAACGAACCTCCCACCATCCGAGAGACGAACATTAGACTGAACGAATCTAACCATCCGAGAACGAACATTAGACTGAACGAATCTCCCACCATCCGAGAGACGAACATTAGACTGAAAATCTCCACCATCCGAGAGACGAACATTAGACTGAACGAATCTCCCACCATCCGAGAGACGAACATTAGACTGAACGAATCTCCCACCATCCGAGAGACGAACATTAGACTGAACGAATCTCCCACCATCCGAGAGACGAACATTAGACTGAACGAATCTCCACCATCCGATGGAGACGAACATTAGACTGAACATGAATCCACCATCCGAGAGACGAACATTAGACTGAACAAATCTCCGACCACGAAGACGAACATTAGACTGAACGAATCTCATACCATCCGAGAGACGAACATTAGACTGAACGAATCTCATACCATCCGAGAGACGAACATTAGACTGAACGAATCTCCAACCATCCGAGAGACGAACATTAGACTGAACGAATCTCCAACCAATGAGAGACGAACATTAGACTGAACAGACCTCCCACCATCCGAGAGACGAACATTAGACTGAACGAATCTCCCACCATCCGAGAGACGAACATTAGACTGAACGAATCTCATACCATCCGAGAGACGAACATTAGACTGAATGAATCTCCCACCATCCGAGAGACGAACATTAGACTGAACGAATCTCCCACCATCCGAGAGACGAACATTAGACTGAACGAATCTCCCACCATCCGAGAGACGAACATTAGACTGAACGAATCTCCCACCATCCGAGAGACGAACATTAGACTGAACGAATCTCCTACCATCCGAGAGACGAACATTTAGACTGAACGAACCTCCCACCATCCGAGGATAGACGAACAAACCTTAGATTAAACTGAACAGACCTCCCACCATCCGAGAGACGAACATTAGACTGAACGAACCTCCCACCATTTATAAACATTAGACTGAACGAACCTCCCACCATCCGAGAGACGAACATTAGACTGAACGAACCTCCCACCATCCGAGAGACGAACATTAGACTGAACGAATCTCCCACCATCCGAGAGATCTGTCTATATCTCTGAGATGAGGTATTATGATTATTTACCTTATTTGGACTTATCCTCATCTTCATTTGACATATTCACAACGTTATTTCGTCCACCGGAATAGATTATTCTTTTTCCGCGACATAATTGAGATATCCAGAAGAGGCATGGTACGTGAATCTAGAACAATCTACTACAGTGGACGAAATAAAGGGTTCGTTTC